ATATATATATATATAATGTATGAAACTATTTTTGCGCGAGATATAATGTTAATTATTTTGTAATCTTGCTTTACTGCAATTGTCCACTTGAATTCGACAAAACCATAGTCATTTTTATATATAATTCGAGATTCGTTCTCATATGTATATACGTATATACATGTTTTTTTGTCATTTTTTTTCATTCTCACTCATCTTACAGTGCTTAGATCCGTTCGATTAATCGGATACTTATCAGTGAATATTTTAGACTTTCAATTCGACTGCGTTTTGCATCTTGACGATCGCGGACAAATAACTCATCTCACCATAAGTTTCATCCTCGGAATTGTTCTCGGAATTGTTCTCCAAATCCGAATCCGAATCCGGCAGCGGCTCCGGTTTTGCGCCATATCGCACCAGTTCCCTGGCGAGCTGGCTGTCGATGCACAGTGCTAGCTGATAGGCCGTTAGGCCGCTGTACATCTGTGTGTCTAAACAAGGCTTGCATTCCTGCAACAAGAAGTTAACTACCGATCGACATTTCCGTTCCATTGCAAGATGAAGTGCCGTTTTTCCCGCTAAGGCTTCCCTCGCTTCGAGATCAGCACCGAGACGCAACAGAAGACGTACCAAATTCACGTGTCCGTTAGTGGCAGCCAGGTGCAAGCACATCTCACCTGAAATCGAATCAAGAAACCGAAGATTAAATAGTGTTTAATGAAACAGCAGTATTTAAAAAAAAGAGACTATTCTTTTATATTGTTATTTATTATTTATTTTTAGAGAATAAAATCAGGTAGAACACTGAAGTTATATTATATGATGTCAGAAGAACGTCATCATGATTTTATTTGTCATTTAATATTTAATTGCAATCAGTTGATGGCTGATGCTGTCGCGCGAATTTCGATGTTATATGATCCATTGACGGTACATAAAAATATCAGTTTTATTCTTATCGCATATATATCATCTATTATTATTGTATGCAATTATTATAGATAAAAATGTAAACACAAAATGTGTTGCTTAGCAACGCATATGTATCAATTATGTACAAGTATTATACGTTATTAAATGATACAAAACAGCATAATTAAACGCACACGCGCGCGGGGTACGAGTTTACGATAAAAAAAATGAGTGCAGTTCAATTCGCATCATATAGCAACTTGTATCTAATTTTTCAACTTTCTTATTCATTTCTCTTAAACTAATAAGGACACGGAAATACGCACATCAAAATGAGTGCATATAATCTAGTCACATACTTTTCATGAGATATAGATAGAACTAGGAAGACATACGGTGACTCATTGTCGTCGGAGATTTCGCTGGTGTTTCGCGGTCCAAAAGTCCGCGCTTGAAACGCGATTGAAGTAATTTGTATCTAAAATTAATAGCGTACTACGTTACTAGTTGCATTGGCAGAATTTAACGACATATCGTATATCATATTGCATCGACATCGATCGTCTCATTGCCAATGGCAGAAATAAAAATCTAATCGATCATAGATATTAATAAACATAATAATATATGATATGAAGTATCGTTCTTGTTTTTTTATCATACTATAGCTACATAGAATTGATTACAATGGTTGAATTAAAAGAATTCATAGATTTAATTCCTATCTATCTATAATACATCAATCTATAATACATTTACGTCTACAAATAAGAATGTTAGCGTCGATGAGGCTAATAAGTTTAAATCATCGTATTTTCAAAAAATTTAAACAGATATATATTGCCTCGCGAAATAAAATGTTTTATCAAATTTTAATTATTTAAATTAGGAAATTCAAAGATTGTTGCGAAACTAGAATTAATGAAGAAGAATTGAATTTTTAAAGGCGAAAGTTCAACAGAAGTCACCAACATCAATGCCGTTGTGGGATTTTCCGGCCAAACGAGACGAGGCAAGAATATCGAGCAGCATGCAAGTTATAGTTCTACAGATATTTTTAAGTATCAAGAACATCTGCTCTCTCGCTCCGATCTCACGGCGTCTTGACACGCCCGCGTCATATGATGTAACACGCGCACATGCAAGTATAATATAGGATCATGCCAAATTCCATCGTGTGTACAAAACAATTTCTCTCGCACAGCTTAGCTACGCTAAACTATTTGAAAAATATTCTCTGGTCTTTTATCGACAAGTGAGCTCTGCATCGATTTCGAAACGTTTTTCTGTGATAAAATTGAAGATAAAAATTGTTAACAACTAAAAATAGCCCTCACACACTACAGAATTACGTAAAAAATGTGAATTGCGCAAAAAATGTTTAGTATAATGTCATTTTCGAGACCAACTATATATATCTTTTTGTATACAGAATTATAAATGCATATAATTATTATTACTAACATTAGAGTGATAATAACTATAAAATGGAGCTCCGTAATTATAACTTCTTAATGTAAATACATATATAATAATATATGCGCATTGAAGAAAAATATTTAAAATATCCGTAATTATAATTTCATTATAAAATAATTATGATTACGAGAGTTCCATTTTATAGTTATTATCGCTCTAATATTAGTAATAATAATTATATGTATTTATAATTTTATATACAAAAAAAATATATATCTACACTTTGATTCAAGAATCTTATAAGAATTCCAACTATGTGAACCAATTATATGAAAGTTGTCTTGTAAACAAAATAATCTCTTTTCTCGAGGAGAAATAATAATGTCATGCCTTTGGAAATAAATTAAATTGCAGCGAAATTGCTTTCGCGGAAACATCAATTTTATTTAATTCCAGCTAATATGATCGTGTTGCAAAATTCATCATCAATTATCTTCCACTTGTTTTAAAGGCAATTATTATTTAATCGTAAAACTAAAAGCGCATTTCTCGAAAAAAAAGAAAAAAAAAACAAGTAGACCTTGGAACACAATTATTCTAAATGAATAACTGATCTCTCGGTCACGCGGAAGGACTTAGGACTCATTCGAGTCATTATCCTTAATTGTAAATCTGAATGAATAGTGCGAGTTATCTAACGAATGCGCGTGGATAGAATTTTATGAACATTCGTGGTTTCTTCCTCGAATTCAATCACAAATTCATTACAAGCGTGCACCACGCTTCGCATGTACGTGCGTGCCTATAATATAGGTGCGTTATCTGCGTCGCGTGAACTTGCAGTGGAAATACGCGCCGATGACGCTACACGGGATTTCCAAGGCTTTTAAAAGTTCATGAATATTTCACAATATCTGTTGATCAGAGTCATTTTTTTCTTTCTTTATTTGTCGCCTCACCGTAAAATCTTGGATTTAAAAGAGGATAGAAAGCATCTAACACCTTCTTTTTTTTCTTTTTTTTTTATATAAATTTCTAATTTACGTACTACACAATGCGCATCTCTTTCTCACAATGTCAAATTTTGCAGATTTCAAAATTCAATTTGTTCACGTCAATAAATCGCATATTCAATTTATTGCCAATTTATTCGATTCTTGATTTGTGATGACAATAAATATAGTCATTTCCGATGGTAACTCGATGAACGGATGTATCGATGAAAGATATTAATACAATTTACATTATTCGGGGAATTCCTATGTTATTATGACGAAAAGAATCGCGTCCATTAGATAGAGTATGACAATAATACGACAATAATTATTTAAGAAATGTCAGAATATGCCGCATCATTTATAGTCACTAATCGCGATTAATAACAACAATGTCGAAGTACATTTTTTTTGTAATATTTCAATGCTATATTGAAATTTATGCTATATTGAAAATTACGCTAAAAATACGCTATTGAATATTTAAACGAATATCTTTTTTACAGTCTTCATATATTAAGCCTATTGTAGAATTGTATATAGTTGTAAGAATTGACCAATCAATATTCTTCTCTCTTTAACAAAGATTGATAATTTCTTACAGTTACTTACAACTACGCTTACGCAATTGTAGAATGGGCTTTAGATAAATAAAAATTCGTGAAAATGCGTGCGTGCGTGCGCAGAGTATACTCATTTCTATAACTGCGTCTCCAAAGATTATTCTCGCGAAAGTGTCGTTCTTAATCATTTAAGTTATGCATAAATCGTTTGCATTCTCGATATTGAATAATCTCAATATTGAAGAATTGCAAATTATTCTGAATTAACAAAAAAAAAGTTATTACTGAAATATGTAGAATACTCAGACAGCGATTTTTGAAATTTAAATTACATCAATCAGATTAATGTCTTTTTTTTCTTGCATAAATAATTGAATATTCCCCATGTGCCTAAAACGATGAAACTTCCAACTGTGATAAAGCGTGATCCTCGAAATAAAAGTGATGAAATCATAAGAAACCCACATGATTCCTCGTGTCCATGTTAGCTATTTGCGAACCTTATATAGATGACTTGTTCTATGCGGTAAAAACAGTTAGGATTTTCCTGCTAGCTCGGCATCCTTTATGACTATCGTCACGTGAACGACATTCTTTGATTCTTTCTCCACATTATGATGATTAATGGCAATTATGTTGCAAGTTTCTAAATAGTTGTCGTACAATCACAGGGAAAATCACAGATCATTAAGGTAAAACATACAAGAATTTTTTCTCACGCTTACATAATTTTTCAGCTACGAACGCACTGTTTTGTCCTGATGATTCCTTTTCAATTTTTGTCCGTATTCATAGTCAGACTTTAGATGTTCAGTAACCACTAAAATAATTCTTAGTGCATCTGAAGATAACTTTAAGAAAGTCTTAAATATAGGGTCTGACTATGAATATAGCGGGCATTTGTGTATAAATAATGCTTCTTCTATAATCCCTATTATTATTCATCGCTATAAATTCTTTTAGTCTCTATTATTATTCATCGCTATAAATTATATAGTGACTGTTTCGAAGAACAGACCAATAATATTAACAATATTTAGAACCTACCGCTATAATTACGTTGCTCTAAATTCTGAGGTAAAGCTGGTACTATTTGTCCAGGTATCAAATTATTCCTCTCCATTGGAGATAATGGATCCGTCAGAGCCTTGGCACAAGCAAGATCCCCGTTCATGCACGCTAGGTGGAGAGCTGTGTTTCCATGGAAATTCCTCAAAGATGGATCTGCGCTCGCCAGAATCAGTCGTCTAACGATTAGCGACTGATTCGTCAATACTGCCAGATGTAAAGATGATTGCCAGTCATCATTGTAGATGTTCAACAGATACGGATGAGGAGCCAGCCTTATCAAAATAAGTGCAGCCTCCACATAACCCTGCATGATCGCGATGTGCAATTGCCTGTGACAATAAATGCGTTATGTAAAAGTAAATTGATGCAAATTTGAGATTTGCATTCTAACTTTTATAACTTAACGCTCTTATTATTTAATTTTTAATCCGAGAAAATATAATACTTATAGCTCAATAATTCTTTCATTTCTCATTTATTTTCTTTCAATATATTATGTTAAAATTTTTTTTCGATATAAAGAGGTTTTTTTTAAATAAAACTTTCATATATCATAATTTATTGTTGTCAATCAGCTAAATTTTAAAGAATTTTTTAATAAAACTATTTTTTAATAAAACTTAATCGAATTGATCAATAAATTTCGCCACATCATATGTATGTATACACATATAAGTTATTAGATTTATGTAAACACAAATCAATTAACGCATGTTGATGCTTGTACATGAATCTGTGAGTAAAAAAAATTCTTGATTAAATATTATGCGTCCTAATAAAAATAAAAAAAAAAAAAATTGAACTTGATAATTAAGCGATTCTTAGAGACAATGATCGTGTTCAGTAGACACAACTGTTACGGAATGGATCCATGAATGTTCGCTGCTATTGATATATTCTTTTAGATTATCCAATAGCAATGAGAACTCACGAATCCATTCCATAACAGTTGAATCTAAACACGACCAATGCTACGCCTTCAGCAGAAAAAGCAGCTTTGCAATCATTGTAAAATTCTTTAGTATAATTGGTTTTGCCCTTAATTCCTCATTGAATCTAAATATATTAAACTAATCATATTAAAGAATTATACAACAATTGTAAAGCTTTTTCTGCTGAACGCAGCCAATTATTAATTAGGTTGAACTCGTCGATCAGTTTATTATATTGTATGATAGAAATTAAACATAGAACATATAGAAAACTTTTTTTATTCTTTTCCCCATTATACTTCTTTACATGAAACATAAACCTAAGGAAATATATCTCGCACATGAGATTGACATGAAAAATTTCTTTGATTTCAAAAATTAGTTCCGACATCCTAAATACTATATATTTTATTAGATAATCCGAAGAGATTATCTAATAAAATATATTATCAGCGCAGTTATGCTATATAAATTTTGCTGTGTCCATAATTTTTCGTCAAATTACATAAATTATTATTACGATACTATTATCGACAAACGAATTTGAAATATTAATAATAAAAAGAAGAAATTAATAGAAGCATTATCTTTTATATTTATTATATAAATTAATTTGAGATATTAGCGATAAAACTGGATAAATTAATAGGATCAACTAAAGACAAGTTATTTATTTTTATTTTTCGGATAAATCGGTCTTTATTAAACGAAATTGTATCATAAATTATATATAAATGTTCCGCTAATATCATTATTTTTCAACGGCTGATCTATTTATATAATCTATTTATAAGCAGCCTCTAAGAATTGATTTTTATATAATTATATAATATAAAAATTGCTCAGCAATATGTACTTTGTTAAAAATTATTTTCTATTTTTTCAAATATCGCATTTCTATCCTCAGTAAACACAGAGGCTATATATATCTTTACATGACAAAATTTTATTATATCTTAGGCAATTTTATCAACATTATGCCTAAGTTTCCATGCTTAGAAACAATTTCAGCTGATATGTTAATATCCGATAATTTCAAGTATAATAATATTGAGTTGCTTAGAAAATCCGTATTATAACAAAATTCAAATAAAAACTTTTTTGATTAAAAATAATTTTAATCTGTAGAATATGTATCATTTTGTTCAACAATATTTTTCTTTCTTTTGGATAATTAATTCCTCGCTCCTAAAAAGTTCTAAGCTTTTGAACATCTCTACCGAAAAATTCGCACAGACTTTTGTGAATGACCCAATAATTTATTGCACATTAGATAATAACATTAGATAATCTAAGAAAGACAATATAATAGAATGTTAATGGTCAAATTTGAATATTTGTGACAAAATAAAAGAGAGGGATGGAAATTTAAAGGAATTTAGTGCAGAAGAAAGTCATTTTTGATTAAGGTCTTATGCTTTTTTTATAATATAATTTTTTAAATACCCAAATAAATTCCACGTTGATTATTTGTTGATCTTGAAATAATCTTGCACAAATGCAATATCAGAAATTAAGTTGACAAGTCATTGAATATTATTGATGCTAACAAGCAATAAATTACAGTGCTTTAAAGATGCTTTATTAATATCAATAATATTAAATTACTTGACGATTTAATTTGTAATATTTTGTAATACTCCAGCTTCAATCTAAGACTATGTTTCAAAATCGACGAATAATTTCGGTGCGCAGTTTGAACTGGAAATTGTAAAAATTCACATAATACATTATTAAACACTAAGACCTGACCGAATATGGTTCCCTTCATTCGCGTTTCGCATGAATTGATAAATGTATAATAGATAACACAAATATATTACTCACGTGTCACCGTCATCGTCTTGCATATAGTAAAGCTGCCAAGTATTCTCGTTAATTATTGCATATTTCTTAACATCTTCTTGTTGATGCTCTTTGAACAGAAGATCATCCTGGTGTTGCCTTAGTCTTTGGTTCGATTTTACGGGTATTAGTTCAAAGATTGTCGTGGGCTCGGGTTGAATTCCGCTGTCAATAGCGAGAGGATTCAAGCCAGGCAGTTGAACGGGCTGCTTTTGCAAGGTGAGCTGGTTCAGGCTTTCGCTGAGGTCGACGTCCACGACGCCGCTATCGACGACTGCCGCCATCGTTGATGATAACAGCGATACCGAGGTCGTCGCTCCCGATGCGACTTGCTCATTTATCCGCCAATTGTCTTCCTGTCGCGACTGTAAGACACAAGACTCACGAATCTCGTCGCTGATCTGCATATTGCTGGCCGATAGAAATCCGGAGTCGACATTATCCTTCACAAATTCATCGTCATTGTCGTCGTTGTTCCCATCGTTCCGCAATCTCTTCTCGTCGGCTCCTCGAGCACGCTCCTCCTGAGCGCTCTCACTGGAAGAGCACCACATTTTTTATCGATCCTTGCGGAATGACGGAAAGTGTTTTTTCTCCCTCAACTTGAGAATCGCTTGTTCGGAAAATAAATAATAATCAACGCACCATAAATAATAATCACTTTCGTATTGCGCCACGCGATACGACGTGACGGTAAATGCCTTCTTTTTCTTTCTTAATTATATTTCTAATAATTTCAATCCGTGGGATTTGTTACGGACGTCCATTTGCGTTCTCTGTAATTTGTGTCCGAAATTCTCTTTTGGTATGAATACTTCGTATTATCTTTCGTTGTTTCGCACTGTATATAAGTTATTGTACGTCGATTCTCTCGATACTTGACTTTCGAGTCGCTCGTAAGTCAAATCTCTTCGGTATCTTTCTCGTTCGCTTTCGCTGACGCGTATATAACCGGCCTTTTATTCCTTTCTTCCTATTTTTAATTGTTATTCTCCACTTTGAAATGCGCGCGTATATTCTTCTCTTTTTTCCTTTTCTTCTTCAACTTAAAGGTTCATCCTGCGTCAGCTATGGACGCAATACTATTCTGTTTTCATTTGCTGCACCAGAAAAATGAAATGCATTTGGGCTGATTTCTGTTGCGAAGAGATAGAAAACGCAGACGGGAAGCGATTTGATCAGGCTTGTTGTGATATCGAATCGTGATCGTGCAAATATTGCAAGCATCCGCAAACCTCATTGTCTCACGTCTCAAAACAAACTGCGAACGAGTGCGGAGTAAATGAGCGAGTTGACTCGAGCGTCAAGCGAACGATAACAAAATCGTACCGGATAAATGAGACGGAACTCTCCACTTTCGTGCGCACGCGCAAGAAATGTCATTGACCACGTGACCGATCTTGACACGGTGCTGTACGCAAAGCGTCCCTATATGGGACCTGTTATATAATTATAAAGTATAAAGAAAATTGAGTCCCGTTGAAATAAAATTCTCACATATGTTGTAACTTATAATGTGAATAAAAAAAATGTTATATTATATATATAATGTAACATTTTTTTATTCACATTACACACACACACAAACCACACACACACACACACACACACACACACGCACACAAGCACACACGCACACACCACACACACACACACACACACACACACACACACACACGATGAGTATCAAATGATGGATAGTTCTTGATTAAAAGTAAAATCGCCTCACAAAGCATCTCTATTGATACACCTGGCCATACACAATTCAGATCTCCAGAGGGATGTCCTGAGGACATTCAGACAATGTCCGCATGTTAGTTGAACATCCTAAAAAAGTCTTCGGTATCTCGGATAAAATGTAATATAGGATTATATAGTTAAAAAACTGTCCATTATTGACCTTTTAATTATTTGTGTTCTATATATTTTTTTATTTATCACATTATGAACTATATCACATGTGAAAACTAACTTCTATTTTGTCAAGATTCAATTTTTCATGCAAGACATAATGTAGCGATATAACATATATAATGTATATACAATTCAAAAATATACTTGACGGAAGATGCTCTACCACGTTTCCTGATATAATATACAATGTACCAAAAAATAAAATCTAAAACAAATGTTACAACATAAAATAATCTCAATTCTTTTCCCTCGTATAATTTATAACAAATTAATAAATAGTAAACTCAGGTCAACAAATTCAATGAGCTATAGTTAGATATAACAAAGTAATATTTTTTATTCACAAATTATATTTTTTGACGATAAATTTCACCGATACATTTCGAATATATTTAGTCCTCAGCCGCAGAAATACATAATTACCCTATATGTCAAAATTACATTAACATATTATGAGTATCATTTCATTCGAGTTACAATAGATGATATAATAAATTTATAAGGATTATCTCACCTTCGAGTTAACAATAAACGGTATAATATAACCATATTATATTTAGTCAATTTTGTTAAATAATAGACGATGTAATGATAAATCGTGAATCCAAACCACTTCATCGATTAATAGCGAAAAAGAACAGTCAATATGAATAAAAGAAGAAAATTTCAGTTGTATTATTGATGTAGCTTGATGTCAAATTATATAAGATGGTTTTGTATATATGTATATATATATATATATATGGTTGTATACATTCTTAATAATATTGATGAATAATATTGATCCTTAATAATATTGATAGATAAACTAAATAAAATAAAAATAAAAATATCATCAGAAATTGAAGCTATACAAATAAAGCTAAGATATTACAGATTATAACTTAAATATATCTTTAACAATTAAAACTATATAGGTAAAACAATGATAATTTTTAAATTTATGTATATACATATATATATAAATTGAACCAAAGCACAAACAAAATATAAATAAAATCGCTTTCAGTTTTTTATAACCAAATTAATGAAATTAAATGAAGTTGTATATACATAATTATAAAGGAATAGAGAATAAAGATTATGCAATACTTACATTAGTCATAAAGGCAAATATAAGTTATATATGTTGCAACAAATCTATTACGAATGCAAAGTATAGAATTTAGAGACAGTTAACTATTTCTTGATACAAGACAAATCTTTACTGTGAGAGAGTATAATGCAAATGATACCGCATGTCAGAATGTCAAAAGACAAAGAAACTAAGCGCTTTTTGTTATTATTCGAAATTAAATTTAACAGATAAATATAGATATACATCATATAATAGATATACATTATAACATGTTTTAAAAAGTGTTAGAAATTGAGCAAAATATATTCGGCGTAAATAGAACAAAATTCATACATTATATGTTGGCACAATATATAAACAAAAAATAAAGCTAGGTTGGCTAGATTTGGCATGATGTCATATTAAGTTAGCAAAATGTAGTTAATGTAGAAATCTGACAAATTTGAGAACGGTAATATAGCGGTAGAATGGTAATATAACACGACTTATTATTGTATATCAAATACTGATAGAAAAAAATAAAAATCGAGCACAGCGTGCCGTCACGCTGTGACTGCCCAAAATACGGCATATATATGTTGCGATCTGCTTTATCAGCTGTTGAAGACAAAAACGCAGCAGAAATCGCGCATAATCTGTCGTCATGTAATATAAAAAATGTAGCAAAAATTCAAGAAATTCTAAAACTCCCGCGATTAATATATTCGCTAAATATATATATACACACACACACACACACACACACACACACACACACACACAC